GAAGGGGTCAAGTTATTTTCCAAGGCACCTGAAGGCCAGAGAAGGAATAATGGATGGAAACTGAACAAGGAGAGATTCAACCTGGAAATAAGGAGAAACTTTCTGACAGGGAGAACAATCCACCCATGGAACAGAAGTTGCCTGCAGAAGTTGTGGGAGCTTCATCTTTGGAGGCTTTCAAGAAGAGACTGGACTGCCATCTGTCAGAAATGGTGTCAGGTCTTCTCGGGCGGGCGGGGGGTTGGACTAGATGACCTACAAGGTCCCTTCCAACTCTGTTAATCTGTAAAGAACAGAAGTTGCCTTCAGAAGTTGTGGGAGCTTCATCCCTGGAGGCTTTCAAGAAGAGATTGGACTGCCATTTGTCAGAAATGGTATTGGGTCTCAGCACTTGGGCAGAGGGTTGGACTAGATGACCTGCAAGGTCCCTTCCAACTCTGTTATTCTGTAAAGAACAGAAGTTGCCTTCAGAAGTTGTGGGAGCTTCATCCCTGGAGGCTTTCAAGTAGAGACTGGGCTGCCATCTGACAGAAATGGTGCAGGGTCTCCTGCTTGGGCCGTGGGTTGGACTAGATGACCTACAAGGTCCTTTCCAGCTCTGATTATCTGTTACCTGCTTCAGGTTCTGCCCTTTCTACAAGACGGTGGGCATGCTGCAGAACATGGTCACTTTTTACGAGCTGGCCCGCCACGCCGTGGAGTCCACAGCCCAATCGGAGCACAAGATCACCTGGGCCATCATACGGGAGAACCTGGGCGACATCATGTACAAGCTCAGCTCCATGAAGTTCCAGGTGAGGTGGAGGGAGGGAGGGAGGGAGGGGTTCAACCCAGCACTCGGGGAGAATTTCCTAACAGAACAATCAATCGCATGATATTTGAATAACACACTAAAAAGACCCTTTTTTAAAAAAAAAAAAAATTCCAAACCAAGAGGCGTGTCTCCAGAAGTGACTCCAGACGTTGTAGATGCTCCGTCACTGGAGGCTTTTAGGAAGAGATTTGACAGCCCCTTGTCTGGAATGGTAGAGGGTCTCCTGCTGGTCAGAGGGTTGGGCTAGAAGTCCTCCAAGGCCAGGTAGGTAGGAGGTAGGTAGGTAGATGATAGAGATAATAAATAGATAATAAATGGAAATAATAGATTGATAGAGATAGATAGATATAATACTGTAGCTGTCAGGATTTCAGCAATCGCCCTAATTAAATCATGATTCTCCTGACAGATAGATAGATAGATAGATAGATAGATAGATAGATGATAGATAGATAGATGATAGATAGATAGATAGATAGATAGATAGATAGATAGATGATAGATAGATAGATAGATAGATAGATAGATAGATAGATAGATAGATAATAGATATAGATAGATAGATATAGATATAGATAGATAGATAGATAGATAGATACATAGATAGATAGATAGATGATAGATAGATAGATGAGAGAGAGGGGGTAACGAGATGATAGATAGA